AATTATAAATCAAATGTCTAATTAAGTTCTTAATTATTATTCACAGTCGATATTACATACGTACATTTTAGTCTGATTAGATCATCTTGAACAATGTTCAGGACGATCTAATGGAGACTGTCTGCCGACGCATGTCATGGATTGTTTGAATGGCAAAAAAAAAACCACGCTCTCCAATCGTTGATTCTTTAATTTATTTTTTGTTCGCTCGTTTTCCTTTGTTACAAATCATGCATGGTAATCGCCTTACTCGTAATTTAGCTTATTTTGGCGTTTTGGCGATTGTTTGGAAGGAGTTTCCCTTCCCTTTAACCCTTTTCGGCCGTGAATTCATAATATATTTTCGAATTTTCCCTAAAATAAGAAATACTATATCGTATTCCAAGAAAAAAAATATTTTAATTTCCAAAGCATTATTTATTATATAAGATTTGAGTAATAAGGAATTAGGTGTGGTTAATTTCTCCCTCACTACATAGAATTTGAAATATAATTACTCAGGTATATTACAACATAGTTTTTTTATAAATTCGAATTAATTACTGAACCAAAAAAAAAAACACCCAATCACTAATTGAAAAACAAAATAAAAAAAAAATAAAAAAAATTATTATTATCATGGCCACCTTCTTCTCTCTCTACAATTGTTTCTCACTAATTTTCATCCTCCAATTACTCTTTCTCTCTCTAAAAACAAACGGTGCTGCAGTGGACGATATTTGCAACCAAACCACAGATCCACCCTTGTGCCTACAAGGCTTCGCGGCCGATGCCGACGGCCGCAGCGCGATGATATGTTTTATTATTTAATTTAATTAGAATTAGTCAAATTATATGTTAGTGGGTAGTTTTTTATTAGTGGGCATGAATTAAATTAGTGGGTTAGTGTGGTTAAGGGATTAGTGGGGTGGTAGTTTAATTATTATTTATGAGTATTATAAATAGGGTAATTAGAATGTTACGTATTATAAAGTTTAAGAATCAATTAATCTCCTTCTGTCTTCTCTTAATTCCGTCTCTAATTCTTCTTCTAATTCTCTTCCTAATTCATATCTCTCAATTTCTTCCTAATTCTTGAAACTATGTTTTCTTGCTCAAATTACCACGTAACACGCGACCGCCACCATGACGTTGCTGGCGGCGGTGGCCGTCGACGTGGGGTTGACGGCCGCCGCCACGACGAAAGGCGAGGTCGACGACCGCATGGCGAACGAGAAGGACCGGAACCTGGTCAACCTATACTTGAAGTGCTCGACTTTCTACTTCCACATGTTCGACTGCTTCGGGGCGATGATGAATGACCTTCATCAAGGCCAAGCTGGCAACTACGCCGACTACAAGAAGCAGGCGGTCGCGATACGCGCCGACGTCGACGGATCGGAGGCGTTGTTTAACAATAGTTCGCCGTTCGCGAGCGGGGATAAACTTGTCCGAATCTTTGCTGACGCCATGGTTTTGATTGCTGACGCACTCATGTCTTAGTGATAATTCAGTTTTATTTAATTTCTTAGTTTGATATTATTATTTTGTTATTTTATTTTATTTTTTTATATTATTATTGGTATTAATTTTACATAATGATGAATTATTAATAGAAAAAATAAAGTTATGGCTCGTTATGTATTGAAATGATGTGAATTGAAAGTATTAATCCATTAAAGAAGGCTGCTTGCATGCTACTTTGGAACTGAAAATCGGGTGGATCGGATCAGAAACATGGTTTCAGAAAATATTCCAATAATTTTTAGACTTGATTACAGTTATGAATTTTTGAGAACTAAAAAATACGCTCCGATTCCAGAAATTTCGGAAATTCCAATAAGAATGACAATCGGAACAACTTTTGGAATTGTAATAGAAGATATTAAGAATAAAATTGGAATTTTTGGAAATTTCAACAAATAAAAACAACTCGTGAATAATTTTTTTTCTTTCTTTAAATTTAAGGTATTAAATTAAAATTAATATAGTCGAACTAGTCACAAAAATAAAAAATCCTATTTTTTTTGGAGGCGCTGCATCCGCGGTCCCGTAAACCCACCCTATAGCAAAATACAAGAGTCATCATTCTTGAAACAATCATTGTTGTCATTAATTTTCTTTTACGATATTTTATATTTAAACCTTTTAATGTATATTCGTTCCCCCATTGATTAAATCACGGCTTCGCGACGTTATGATGTGTTTATTATGTAAAATGTTTTTTTTTTTTTTGTGATTTTTTCAATATATTGATGATTTTATTTTTTTCACATTGTAGTTTCGTGAATAGGAAAAAAAACTGACTTTGACTTTTGGCATCCTAAACAAATACTATTAAAAATATTAAATTATCTATAAAAAAATTAATTTGGGGGTGCATTATGCATGATTTATTGTATTTTAAGGGTGCAAAGTGATATTAATATTGTTTTAGGGTGCAAAGTGGGGGTGCAAGGTGGAATTAACGATATAAAATGTAAGTTAGTATTAATGTATTATAAACATTGGACAGAAAATATTATTAAATTGGATATAAGATTTTGACCTTCTTTATATAAGATTGATTAAAGAAAAAAATAAGTGTATACATATATACAAAAAACATTCCTTCTATATATAAGATTTATATAGCAAGAAATCAGACGCATTTAATTTCTCAACCATTAAACCAGATTTGATATTTAGTTACTGACTAAAAGACTACAAATATTTTTGTATAAATTCACATGGAGATGAAAAAAAATAAAACAATCCCACAAATTGAATTAAAAAAAAAAAAAAAAAAAAAAAAAGGGCGGGAATCAATATTAACATGGCCAAGTTTTCCTCTCTCTACATATGTTGCTCCCTAATTTTCAACATCCAATTGCTTTTTCTCTCTCTACAAACACACGGCGCCGCGGTGGACGACGTGTGCCGTCAAACCGTGGACCCGGCGTTCTGCCAACAATGCTTCAACATTGATCCGCGCAGCGCGACGGCAGCACCCCCGATGCTGGGGCAGATCGCGGTCCAATGGGCCGCGCACTACGGCGGCAACACCAAAATCGACATGCACGAAGCCATGATGAGCGCGGCGGACCCGGCCGTTAAGAACCAATACAGCCAGTGCATCGATCTCTACCAAACCGCGCTCGAGCATTTCCAGGCTGCGCCGGGCGAACTGAATTCAAATGCGTGGGGGGTACTCAGGAAGAATGCCGAGTCGATCCGCGCCGGAGTCGACGCGTGCGAGGCGGTTTTTAATCATAATGCACCGGCCGAGGTCGCGAATACGGATAAACTCGTCGGGATCTTTGCCGATGCCCTGGCGATTATTGCTCGCTCTTTCGGTGGTTGATTGTTCAATTTTTTTTTATTGAATCAGAATAATATAGACATGTTTTTTTTACTTATATTTCTTTGTTGAATTGAATGATTATTAGAAGAAAAAAATAATAATTAGAATTAAAATTTACCAAAAAATAATCTAAAATATGGACTTAAGATAAGATTATTAATATCGTAATAACAAGGTCAATATATTAAATTACAAAAATACTGGATTTTGTTCCTAATTCGTCTTTTAGGGTAAGATTTTTGTCAAAACCTAATTCAGTAATTAATTAAGAGTGACAGAAGAATTATTAGCGCTAAGAAAACAATCAAATAAAATTAATTAAATATGAAGAAGCTGACTTTTTCAAGCACAATTTATAATAATGTTTTCTTCCTGTTTTTTATATTATTTATCTTACCATGTTCTTTGTGTGATTGTGTCAAATTAGATTTGATGTTATCCTTTCAAAATTTATTAATTAGTAAGATAAAAAGAATAAAATATATAGTTTTTCTTGTGTTTGAATAAGAGATATGACAAAAGAAAAGTAGTTTGTTGATACCCATTTTGCACCTAAAATCTATTTTAGACGGTATTTGCAAAAGTTTATTAAAAAAAACAAAAGTTAATTAGTGAATGAGTATTAAGTGCAATTTATATAATTTGAGGGTGAAAAATAAAGCTAAATAGAAAAAACAAGTTTATGAGTACTTTTAAAAAATAACTTAATTAAAACAACTTATTTCTAAGAGAAGTATAAGTAAAATATAAGGGTAAAATTCATTTTGCACCCCTGTACTATGATAAATGTATCGTTTACCCCCCTGAAGTATTGAAAACATCAAACACCCCCCTGCCGTTAGTTTTTTTCTTCTAATTCCGTTAGTCAAACACTTTGACCGACTATTGCAAAGAAATGTTCGCTTTTTTTTTTAATGAAAATACCTCAAAAAATTTCTATATATAGGAAAACTAACGGCACAAAACCCACAAAAAATGAAAACTAAAAGCCCTGAAATCTATAT